GGGCGGGGAGAGGGAGAGGGAGAGGGAGAGGGAGAAAACGTAAATGAGGAGGGAGAATCATCAATCGGCTGCCTCCTGCACGCCCCTTACTGGGCATCAAGCCCAAAGCCCCCACATGTGCCCTGACAGGGAATGGAATCAGCGACCTATCTGTGCATGGAACAATGGTCAACCAACTGAGCCACACCTGCTAGGGCAGCTTCAACAGTTATTAACAGCTACAAGATTTGAGAAAAGCCCAGTGGACAGGTATAACTATTATTATGACCAATATTAATAGCAGACAGGTAAAGACAATCAAAGTTCAACATCAATTTGCAGGTATACAGGCCTTGTCAGTGTCTTGGGAAAGCTGTCTATCCCTGATGTCAACAGCTTCTCATCCTCAAGAAGTCTTTGATCTCTGCTGTAGGAGGAGGCAATTGTCAGAGACAGGGGCAGATGTCTATTGGTTGTTAGGCACCTGATAAGGTCCCTTCCAATGATGTTAGAGAGAGTCTTTAATTAATGTCTTTTCCATGGACAAAAACTCCTGGTTGTAAGTTGTGGTCTTTGAAGTCTCCGTCTGCCAGGAGCGCACTGTGAAATGAATGCCACTAATTTATCAGTCCCTATAAGCTGGTTAATAAGTTTTTCACAATAATTCAGAATGTCTCCTTTTAGTAAGGCTGATTTACACGCTCCTTCATCCAGATGCACAGAGTGACCAGTGACTGTTTAATGAGAAAAGCTATGTGTTTACCAAGAGAAGTAGATTTCAGGTTAAGGAGCACTATAAGGAGAGCTTTTTGGCTAAGGGAGATTAAAAGCTTCTGAAAATTTACCTAGTTGAGGTAGGTAAATGGTTTTAATTTTACTATTTGTATGTCCCACCAATCCAGAGAACTGGGGTGACAGGCACAATCAAAATACTATAGAATAGGCCAAATATTACAAATGGATTGCATTATTTGCCCAGTGAAGTGAGTCCCTTGGTCACTGTAATGCAGAGGGAATTCCCAGTTGGGAGTTAATTTTCCCCAGTAACAATTTCCCTACCATTAAGGCTGTTTCTCTCTTGCAAGGGAATGCCTCCACCCAGTGGGGAAAAAACAAAAACATGCAAATCATAACTAACACATATTTGTATCTTTGCTGTGGTGGCATTTGGATAAAATCCAATTACTGTACTTCAGATGGCTTTAAAGGAATTGGGAAATGTCCTTGGGGCTCGTGGAATGAATTTCCAGGGTTATGTCTGGACAGAACATCTGCTGTACACTTCATAAGCTACAGCAGGTTTCCAGTAAATCATCTTTTTAGGACCCCAGCGTGTTAGCTCATGCACATGTGGAAGTACAGGTAATCGAGTCCCTGCAGATAAGATTGGTTTCTGATGGGGTCCAAGCCACATCTCTGTCTGGATCCAAAGCTCCCCCTTTTTGTTGTAATGCCCTCGTTCCTTCTTCCGCAGCTGTTCACTGCAACTTAAAGCAGCGAGGTTCAGGGTTCCCAGAAAAACTCATCCAAGCTCTCCCAGTGCAAAGCAAGGGACACAGTGGGGCACAGTAGGAAGAATTTCTTAAACAAGATTTTTTTTTTTAAAGCCCAAACCATGAAGCTACATTGCTAAATTTGACCAGATTGAAATGAAAGCTTTGGTTCCACAAAAGACAGTGTAAGTGAAGTAAAATAAGAAGCCACAAACTGAAAAAGAACAGCTGTGAGACATACAGTCTACCGAGCATTCGTGTCCAGGGTATGTTAAAAAGTCCTGAAAGTCAGTGGAAAAAGACAAAATGCCCCGTTATAAATTGATCAGAGTATATGCACAGGTGATTCTTAAAAGAAATCTGAATGTTCAATAAATACTTAAAAATAAATTTAACTTCACTAGTTGTCAGGGAAAAACAAGAAGAAACATCAACCATTTTATACCTATCAGATTGACAGAAATTAAAAATTCTGACATTATTAAGAGTTGGGGAGGAAGTAGAGTAATGGGGAAATGAAAAAAAAAGAAAGAAAAAACACTGGGAATACATGTCCATCAACAAGAGAACAGATAAATTGTGGTATATTTGTCCAATAGACTATTATGCAGCTATTAAAATGAATGAACTAGTGTCAAACACTTCATATGGATAAATCTCAAAAATATGTTGGCCCAGAAAAAAATTAGTTGAAGAACGCTACAGGCAGAGTAACATCATTTATATAAAATTTGAAAACAGGCAAAGCCTTATTTCAGCTTGTTCAGAGTTGTAGACAAATGTAGCAAGAGTATAAAAACACGCCTGGGGACACGTAACACCAAATTTATCAAGTAGGTTACCCCATAAGGAGAGAAGGGGAGCAGTGAGAACAGGGAAGGGATATGCACAGGAGCCTTCAACTTTATCTGTTGTATTTTATTCTGTTAGAAAAATACCTGAAGCAAAAAGAGCAAAGAATAAAGATTTTATAAAGTGGGTTCAGGTGACCAAAACTGTTCTCTTAACTTTTCTGAGCGTTTCAGGATCATGGTCAGGAGTTCAGGGAAGATGTTTTCATTGGAGGGGACACCAAAATGTAAACCCAGTGGCAGGGCGTACCTTGTTCTAACCACTGCTCACCCTCCACAGAGAAGAGGGCCCGGTACAGAGAAGGTCCTCGACAAGTACTTGCTGAATGAATGAACATGAGCAAGGGCAATGAGACACGTTAAAGCACGGCGTGTTCCAAAGAGCTAATCATGACAGCCAACTTCTACTGCGACCCGCTCGCACCAGCCACGGACTTGACTGTGTGGCCTGGGTTGTTACCCTCCCTCCGCAGGGGGCGTGAGGCTTAGAGAGGAAGGCAGCTTGCCTGAGAGCGCAGTGGTGAGGGCCGGAGGCCGCAGTGCATCCAAAAAGAAAAAAAGCCTGGGTTTTATGCTGTAGGTGGTTGCGAAAGTTGGAGCAGCAGAAATTAATAATACAAGGAGGCGCATGAACAGACACACAGGAGCGTAAAGGGTGGCCAGGAGCAGACGGGGCGCGGAGGGCGCCTCGTGCCTGGGCCCGCGAGGGGGGCTCCCAGCAGGGGACACGGGGGTCTGCCTGGGCAGTCGGGAAAGGCTTCACCAGGACGATGCACTTGAACTTGGCCTTGAAGAAAAAGTGCACCTACAAACGCCGGGAGGCCAGCAATTCCTGCTCCACGGACCGCCGGCGGCGCTGCGAGGACCCGCGGCTCCGGCTGCGAGCGCGGAGCCTGCCCACGCAGGGCCCAGGGCACACGCGCGGGAGGCAGGCCGGCCGAGGGCGACCTTCCGGTTCAGAAAGGTGGCTCTCACCTCTCCGAGCACAGGGAAGGAGGGGACCTGCGCGCTTCTCCAGAGTCAGGCGGCAGTGCTGCGGGCAGTCACCGCGCCGGATCGAGAGCGCCTCCTATTCATTTGTGCGCGTTGGCCAGGCGTCCGCCCGCTGCCCCGCGCCCTGGGTGAGTAAACTCGGAAGGTGCCCCCCGCCCCGCGGGGCGCGGGGGACGCGGACACGGCCTCTCGCGGGGCGCACCGAGGAGGGCGAAGCGCGGCTCAGTCAGCTTACGAAGCAAAGGCAAC